AAGGAAACAGAGGACACAGATAATTTTAAAGAAGCCTGTCCACAGAAGCTGCCATGCCAGGGATCAATCAATCAACCAGAATAGAGCTGGAAGGGATCTTGGAGGTCTTCTAGTCCAATCACCTGTTCAAATAGGAGACCCTATACCGTTTCAGATAGGTGGCTGTCCAGTCTTTTCTTAAAAACCTCCAGTGACGAAGCCCCTGAAACTTCTGAAGGCAAGCTGTTCCACTGGTTAATTATCCTCATTTGTAGGAAGTTTCTTCTTAATTCCAGGTTGCTTCTCTTCTTGATTAGTTTCCATCCATTGTTTCTTGTCTTCTGATGCTTTGGAAAACAAGTTGACACCCTCTTTTTTGCAGCAGCCCCTCAAATATTGGAATACTTCTACCATGTCACCCCAGTCCTCCTTTTCTCTAGACTGGCCATACCCAATTCCTGCAGTTGTTCTTCATATGCTTTTGTCTCCAGGCCTTTAATCGTCTTAGTTGCTCTTCTTTCTACATTTTTTCTTTTGCACTTTTTAGGCTTAACAGATGCTTGATCTACTAGTATTTTATTATTCCCCCCCAAACTTAAACTTTTTGCTTTTCAGGATACTGAAAAAAACAAGAGGAGGTCTCCACATGCTGGGAGAAACCACAGGATTTGGAGAAGTACAAACAGCTTAATAAAAACAAAATAAATAACAACTGCCTTGTTTATAATGAGAAGCAATACATTAATATTTTAAATTTGAAAAATCAGATAAAATAAATCATTTGTGCATACCCATATACACACAAACAGTTCAATGAAGATTGAGCTGAATATCTCTACCTCTATCTTTATCTCTATCTATCTCTATATACATATATACATACATACATACATACATACATACATACATACATACATACATGGAAAAGCAGAGGGGAAAGGTGTGCAATTCTTTATTTTAGAGCCTTACAACCTTACAGTATCCTGGAGAAGGAAGAGATTGAAATCTGTTAAATAAATGTGAAAGGGAGGGATAACTTAGTACCCTGCAAAGAAAATCTATTATATTTAGTTTTCCCTTACATTTTTTTATAGGGTATTCATAGAGGTGGTTTAGTACATAGCAGAAGCCAACAGAAGGGGCTGAATCTTCATAAACTTTTTCCTACATGCCCATATGCTGCCTCTGTCTGAAGGTTAACCCAGTTCTCTTTGCTCTATGACTCGTCTTTTCTTCAGTTGCAGTTATTAGTTTCTCAAGTCCAGATTTTATAGATACTTTTTTTTTTTACCATGGACAACCAAGAGAATAAACAACTATATAAATGAACTAATCAATTCAGAATTCTCTCTTGAAGCACAGATGACTGGACTTAAACTATCCTAATTTGGACACATTAAATGAAGACCAATTAGTCTGGAGAAAGCTCTAAATCTTGGAAAGGTAAAAAGACAGGGAAGAGAATAACCAACAGCAAGAGGATGGACTTAGAGTGCAACATTGGAAGACCTGAAAGATCAGCTTAGGAACAGATTGTTACAGAAGAAATCTATCTACGTGGTCATCAAGACCAGACACTAACTTGATGGATCACTATCACCATCATCTCCTTTAGCTTCCATGGGTCTTATCACTTCTTTTTACCTCTTTAATAGCGTAAAGTCCTTTTTGACTTAAGAACTTTGGCTCCTTGCTTGCTCCTATCTCAATTCTTACTTAATTCAAGTTCCTTTCTTTCAGTCCTTTGATGTTCTGTCACCTTTCTTCAGTATCTTTGCTCTTGGGTTCAGTGTTCATTAGCCTGACAAAACCTATGAATTCTTCCCAGTTCATAACCATCGTTTAAAAAAAGCGTAATCCTTGCCAAAATGATGCTTTCTTCTACAATCTCAGAAACTGGACTGCAAACAGTTCAATTGCATAAGCCAGGGGTCTCCAACCTTGGCAACTTTTAAGCCTGGTGGACTTCAACTCCCAGAATTCTTGGCTAAGAATAGTGTTAAAGTCCCCAAGTCCTCTTATAAATGATAATGATAACACAATTATCAGGCAAAACAAAAATTAAGTTTAATGGTGCAAAGCCTGGGTATAGTTTGAAGGTAATTCATATTAATTATGTTTGGATTAAAAGCTTATTTCTTTTGTTTGCATCTGCAAGTAGGAAATTAGCAGTAAAATGCATATAATTACTGCATCTTATGGAGGAGCTGTGTTGAACTTAATGGAGCATTCACCTTCTCTCTGTGCATACAACGAACAGTCATATTTCACATTTTGTAAAATGCAGAAAAAATAAATTACATGTTTAACGATAAGAATTACTTAGAATGATAATAGAATTGGATTGGCTAGTTAATATGATGAGACATTCAGGCCTGCGCAGGAAAGAAAATCCACAATAATATACTGTAAAAAAAATTGCAAGCAAGGAAAAAGCTGAATCCCTCTAGATAGGAATATTTTTACAGTATCTCTAATTTTTTGCATTATGGTATTTCTGAGTATATCCATACTGCTCACTTGTTTCATCATGCATACAGGTAGTCCTTGACTTAAAGCAGTTCATTTAGTGACTGTTCGACATTACAATGGCACTGGAAAAAGTGACTTATGACCATTTTTCACATTTATTGCAGCATCCCCATGGCCCTGTAATTTACATTCAGATACTTGACAACTGGTTCATATTTATGATGATTTCAAAGTCACGGGGTCATGTGATCACCTTTTGTGAACTTCTGACAAGCAAAGTCAATGGGGAAGCCAGATGCACTTAACAACTGTGCTACTAATTTAACAACTGCACTTGTTAAGTGAAATAGGTTGTAAAATGGGACAAAACTCACATAACAAATTTCTCATTTATCAGCATAAATTCTGGGCTCAATTGTGGTCGTAAATCGAGGACTACCTGTATGCATGATGAAACAAGTGAGCAGTATGAATATGCTCCTGAGGCCAGTAAAGGTCACACCGTCCTCTAGCCTCTCACAGTCCACCACAAAAGCGGCATCTGCCATATTTTTCTGCATTGTGTTGAAAACAGAATTTTTATTTTGATTTGCACTCACTCAAGCACTGTTATCCAGTTTCCTTCCTTCAACCACCCTCAGCTGGGTCTATGGTTGCTGCCTTGTAGCCCTCTAAACTCTGCTGCAGTTGTTATTGATGGGGTTCATAGCTTTAAGCACACAGTTGCTTGACATGCATCAGCTGGTTTAATATGCAGCAGAAATTTTTAAAGAAATATTATTTCCTGAACTGTCTACTTTACCTTTTAAAAAAAATACTAACGCAAAATATGATCATTTTTAGTCACTGGAGTATAAATTGGGGTAAACTGTTCTATCTCAAGCAAGTAGAAAAAATGATGAAATAACACATCAGTGGATTTAAGAAAAAACAATACAGTGGTATTTTGGAGGAAGAAATATATTAATAAAAATGGCTTCAATTGAATTTTGAATGTTCTGCATATTGCACAAAGCAGAGGTGGGCTGCTACTGGTTCGGACCGGTTCAGGCGAACTGGTTGTTACGATTCTGCACAGTTCAATGAACCAGCAAATCCCACCACTGGCTGGCCCCGCCCACCCTGGCCTGCTTTGCCGCAGCCCACCCTATTTCACCTCGCCCGCCTTGGCTGGTGGCTAGAGTCATGCCCGTGCCAAGCAACTCTTTGGCTTGCTCACCCAGACCATGCGGGGCCCCTGATCTCTGCACCTTGCCCACTTGCCTGTTTTCTTTTTTTTTTTAAATAGTTTTTATTGAATATAAATATTAGAAAAGACATACATAACATATACACAACAAACATTTATACAACATATACACAAAAAGAGTTAATTTCTTCTTAAGCATTTTTTCAGAGTGACGTTCTACAATTCTACTTATAATATATTCCTTCACCTCTCTTTAATCTAATAATATTTTTATTACATATATATGTATCAATCGGTAAATATCCCCTATATTTTTTGTATATTTCTAATTTTTAACCAATTATACCAATTATTCCATATTTTATAATAGTCTGATTCTTCTTTTTCTTGTAATTCTTTGGTTAACCTATCCACTTGCCTGCCTTCGCCGCGACCTACCACACAGCCCATCTGATCTTCGTGCATCATCCGCTCTGCTCACTGTGGCTGCCTGCGAAGGTAAGGCACTTGGCTGAAAATCAGCCTTGGGATGGACACGGTGAGGCTCGGCCACCTTTCGGGCCTGGCTCTTGCCATCCTTCTGCCTACATACCACCCATTCATCCTTTGCCTTGGGTCAGGCCCAGGGGACATGCCAGTCCCTGGCTCTGGCCTTCCCCAGGGCCTCTGCCCACATGCCACCCGCTCACCCTTCATCTCGTGTTGGGGCCCAAGGGACACGCTAGTCCCTGGCTCTGGCAGCTGCCCAAATGCCCATTCACCCTTCACCTTGGGTTGGGGGAAGTGCCAGTCCCTGGCTCTGGCCTTGCCTGAGTTACCACCAGTTCACATCATGCACATGCTTTGCACGCAATCACTGTGCACATGCTCGCTTCGCTCACACATGCAATGAACTTGCACTTCACGCAAGCACATTAGGAAATAAAACAGCTGAGGCATGGCAATCACCTCAGCCATGCCTTACAGCTGACCAAAAAACAAAGGAAAGAAAGGTAGGTATAGCGCAAGGGCGGGGGGGGGGGGGGGGAAGGCCAAACTTACATTCATATCGAACTGGTTCTTTCTCCTATGAATATTTCCACTACCGGCTCTCCTGAACCAGGGAGAACCCGGTAGCAGCCCAACACTGGTCAGGGGATGTGACAGTCCCTGGCTCTGGCCTTTCCCAGGGCCTCCACCTGCATGCCACCTGCATGCCGCCCGCATGCCCCCCTCTGGCTTCAAACTACACCTCCCTGGGCCAAAGCAATTTATCCAGCCTGTGTGGCCTGTCATCCTTGGCCAAAGGGCCATGGGGCGGGGGCAGTGGGGAGGGTGGCGTGGGCACAGGGGGTCAAAGCGGTTTGGGTAAGGTTCTTACCTGTAAGAAGTCCCATCCAGAAAGCGCTGCAGCAGAGAGAAGCAGCTGGGTTGAACCTCCAGTGTCTCTCAGATCTTTCAGCTGCTTTTTCCAGCCCTTGGTGTTGGGCAAGCCTCAGTCGCTTGCAGAGATGCTCCATGTGCTCTCTGGGTCAGCAGCTGTTTCTCTCTTCCGCTGCTCTTGCTGGGAGAGCGTCTTGTGCAGCACAGCAAAATTTAGCAGGCGTGAGCCGCTGCTTTGGGTCCTGTAAGTCCCATCTGGAAAGTGCTGCGACAGAGAGAAGCAGCATTCAATCTGGCTGCTTCTCTCTGCCTCAGTGCTTTCCAGATGGGACTTAGAGGAAAGCGGCAGCTCACAGCTGCTAAATTTTGCTGTGCTATGCAGGACACTCTCCCAGCAAGAGCTGCTCTTTCTGTTCCTGTGGCAAGTAAGTATCCTAATGGCCATCAGACTCCCAGGGGGAGGGATCTAGGCCAGCTAACCTTGTAGGCTGTCTGTGTCTCAGGCTTGGTTGAATCTTGCTGGGTGACATATCATGATGTGTGACAGTTGTGTTGTGAAAGGGTGTTGCTGAGCAATTCCTATTCTGGCTTAATGGCTTTGAAGTTTGACCTGATTTGGAACCTGATTTGGAATCCTATCACCCTGGAGGCTGGAGCTGAAGGGCTTTTGTTTTGTAGATAGGAATAGGATGGCCCAGTCTTTCTGGGGCTATTAACAAAGGTGGGGGCTGTTTTCCCCTTTTCTCATCCAGGGAGGTATAATATTCTGCCTTTTTAATACTTCCTAGAATATTTCATTCTTCTAGGAGATGGGTGGGTGCTAACTTTCTACAGAATAAAATGGTAACAAGAATGTTTGGATTAGTATTTGGTTACATCTGATTGTTTTTTGTGTGAAATCTTTTGGAATAGTAGAAAACATTGTGATATAATTGCCTGTTGGAAGAAATTTCCCTGTTTGTTTCCAGCTGGGACAATTAAGGTGATTGTTCTGAATTCTGTCTTCCTGCCTTAATGGGTTAATCCTATTCCTGGGGCTTTGTCTTTCCTATCCTGAGGGTTAATTCTGCCAGGAAAGAGGAAAAGAGAAGTTCCAGGTGTGTATAATGGCTGTACTTAAGTGTTTCTATTCTCAGTTGTTACTTGGGCTGCTCTGAGTTTTCCCAACGGGGGAAGGGCTGGCTTGAGTCTCTTGGCACAATTTCTGATGCTGTGAGGTTTTTGAGTTGGCCACCCCCACCCAGTCACATGACCACCCAGCCACGCCCACCCAGCCAGTCATTAGGGCAGAGAACTGGTTGTTAAAAATTTTAAAGCCCACCACTGGCACAAAAGTTATAACCACTGAACTATTGAAAAGTTTCTATAACAAGTATTGCAGTGGTGCTAAAAAAGGCAGCAGGATGCAAAAGTTTATTGAGTTAAAATGGGAATCTACATTAGTGTGGATTTTTTTTTAATTTTAAAGCTGGTTGTTTAACCTGTGTGCACCTCTATATATAATGTTTGCTTGGATGCCTTAAGTTTACATATTAAAGATTAATATAACTTTAGATATATATTATTTTATATGCACATACTTTACATACACAAACTATGGGTAGGTCTTACGTTGATCTCCTCTCTGCACATACACACACAAAAAATCATTTTGCACAGACACAGACAGACACACACACACACACACACAAAAACCCACAGACATCTACCTACTGAGACCTATTGAGAGAAATTGATTGGCCATTGGTTTTCAGGGAACAAAAATTTGGGATAATGCAGGAGCATAAGAAAAGTCCAATGGGGGTTGTGTTAACTGGCAGTCACAACTGAACACCTGGCATATTCTGCCAAAATGTCCCAATCTCAACAGAATTCTCCTAAACCAGCATAGACTCCAGCTAGCATCACCTGGGATAACAGCAGTCAAAGGATGCTGGGTGGATATGAATCAGTGCCATGCATCCTCTGGCATTAACTTGTCCCTCTTCTAAATTTAATCAGTTTTGTTGCCGTGAATGGGCAATGCAGAAAAATTAATTTTACTACACATATTATGTAGTGCTCAGTTTCTATCTCATTCTGCTTCCTGGCTCATTTTCTGCTTCCTTAGCTAATTTTAGGACATAGTTCATCTGAGATATCCAATGATTGTAGTCATATTATGACATCCTGAAAAGGTATGAGTGTTGGAGGAGGATCTTCTTGATCAGAACATTCTGCATATGCAAGCTCAGTGGTCTACAGCCCGAAGGTCACATGAAATAATAATAATAATAATAATAATAATAATAATAATAATAATAATAATACTAATAATACTAATAATACTAATAATACTAATACTAATAATAATAATAATAATAATAATAATAATAATAATAATAATAATAATTTTATTTCTATACCGCCCTTCTCCCGAAGGACTCAGGGCGGTGTACAGCCTATTAAAAACACAAAACAACATCAGTTAAAATAGTTTAAAATTATTAAATGAATTTGGCTGAATTTTAAAACCCCAGAATTTTAAAACCCAATTTAAAATTGTTATATTGATAGCCCAGCCTGGCGGAACAACAGGGTCTTGAGTGCGCAACGAAATACCCGGAGGTCGGAGATCTTACATATTTCCGGGGGCAGTTCATTCCACAGGGCTGGGGCTCCCACAGAGAAGGCCCTCGCCCTGGGTGTCGCCAGCCGACATAATTTGGCCGATGGCACCCTGTGGGAGCGAACTGGCCGGTGGGAGGCTACTGGTGGCAGAAGACGGTCTTGAAGGTACCCGGGTCCTATGCCATGGAGCGCTTTAAAGGTGGTAACCAGCACCTTGAATCGCACCCGGAAGACCACTGGGAGCCAGTGCAGCTCGCGCAGGAGGGGTGTCACGTGGGCACAACGAGTTGCACCCATAACCACCCGCGCGGCCACATTCTGGACCAGCTGGAGCCTCCGAGTGCTCTTCAGGGGGAGCCCCATGAAAGATCAAGGGGTCTAGTATATCTTTGTCCTAACCATATTCTGGATTTTCTCAACTACTTTCAAGGAGTGTTTCTTAGACTTGCAGCCCCTATCTGGAAATGATATATACATTCAGTGGTCCCTGCCAGACATTGTCCATTGATAGGGTTGAATATTTCCAGGTACCATATTTTCCAGCGTATAAGATGACTGGGCGTATAAGATGACCCCCGACTTTTCCTGTTAAAATATAGGGTTTAGGCTATACTCACCGTATAAGACTACCCCTCTTCCAACGCACACCAAATAAAAATTAAAAAACATAAACTGGCTCACCCACAATGTAAAAGCAGCTGTGCTAGACCCAAAATGGCCCCTGCAACAAGCCAGGAACCTCACACAGCCACAAAAAGCCCAAAAAAACAACTTTCACTCTAAAAAAGAACAACTAAAAAAAAACCCAATTAACTATTTTTTTTAAAGATCCCAAAGGGGAAAAAAACTTACCCAATAGATCAGGGGTCTCCAACCTTGGCAACTTTAAGACTTGTAGACTTCAACTCCCAGAATTCCTCAGCCAGCTTTGTTTTGCTGGCTGAGGAATTCTGGGAGTTGAAGTCCACAACTCTTGCCTGCTTGATTGCAGGCAGGGAGTGGCTTGCTGATGGAATGGATTCAGGCAAGCGAAGCAAGGCAAGCGTTGCGATTAGCAGCTAAGGTAAGCAAGCTGGAGGGGAAAAACTTTTTTTTCTTTTACAGGGCTCTGGCGATCCCAGCTGAGTTGCCTGATTAGCAGGCAAAGCTGGGATCATCATAGCATGGATCGCCAGAGCCATTTAAGGCTCGTCAGAGTCTTTCGGGCTGGTCTGCCTGGTTACAGGAGAATAACACCCGGCGTATAAGATGACCCCCGACTTTTGAGAAGATTTTCATGTGTTAAAAAGTTGTCTTATATGCCGGAAAGTACGGTAGGTGTTATACTCATGCTTTCCTGATGGCAATAGCAATAGCACTTAGAGTTATATACCACTTCATAGTATAGCATGCTCTAAGAAGTTTACAATGTCAGCAAATAGCCCCCAACAATCTGGGTTCTCGTTTTACTGACCTCAGAAGGATGGAAAATTGAATCAACCTTGAGCCGGTCAGGATCAAACTACTGACTGTCAGCAGAGTTAGCCTGCAATGCTGCATTCTAACCATGGCATATATTGGAGTTTATGCAATAATATTACAATTTTATAGGATTGGCATTATTTGCTATTGTAACCATGACATACAGAAATACTTTTTAATGATGGCTATTTTAGGTATGCTTTCTGGGAACGTCAAAAATATCTAGAGGCCAGAGTTGTCTTGCTAGTGATTTCTAGCATGAAACATGTGAACTAGGGTACTTTTGTGCAGTTCTTCCTCTCCAAGATGACCCTCTTGCCTTATGCCCCATAGCTAAATCCTCTTCTGGCACAATAAATTCAGAATTGCAATTGCATCATCTTTCACTGTCTGTCTGTCTCTTCTCCATGCTGCCCCACCCCTAAAACAGCACAGATTAAGATAAAGTGATAGTTCTGTGTCAAAGACTGCTTTACTGCCACACTAGGGATAAAGGAAGAGAGGTTAATTTATCATCACTGGGGAGAACTGACAGAAGAGAGATATACTACCAAAGGGGGATTTAGCACAGGGCCAAGAAACTTCACACTATTTTTACCATCTGTCACATGCTCTAATAAACCAGGACAAAATATGAAGAAAGGAAAAATGAACTATCAAACACTGATGTAATGCAGACCATAAATCTAATTTAATTACTTTGCATGGAGACAGGTCCTCAAGTCCGTGTGAATATACTGGATTTTTTTTCCTTTGGCAACTTAACAACTAAGTGTTTTAATAACATCATTCTATAATTTATTCCGCCTGGAACACAAAATCTTTTTTGTGAATTCTCTCTCTCCTTTCTTTCTCTTTTTAATTTTTTGTTGTTACTGTTGATTTGTTTTGCAAGAATTCTTAAATCTCTTTTTTAATGTCAAAACTGGCATAAATTCACATCTAAAGTTCAAGTCTGTGACAAAGGTGGAAATTACCAAATACCTTTTTACTATTCTTTTATATCTGTTATTTTGTTGTATAGTCCTTCCTTCCTTCCTTCCTTCCTTCCTTCCTTCCTTCCTTCCTTCCTTCCTTCCTTCCTTCCTCCCCCAAAATTAGAAATAATTGCATCCAGTGATGAGTTAAGTTGCTCAGTTCTTCTTAATTAGATGTTAATATTGTGTCAAAAAATGTTGGATGGGAATTTGTACGACAAACGTGGCAATGAATAGATGCATTCTATTGAAAACACATGCATTCCCCCC